AAAAATCACCCAAAACACGCCTTTTTTTGAGAAATCTTAAAAAAGGGTTTTTGTTTTGAAAGTTAAAAAAAAATTTTTTTTGAATTTTTTTAGCAATACCCAAAATCTGTTCAGATGTTGAAGATTTGATATAATATAATTTGATAAGAAGCATGCAGAAAAAGAAAAAAATTTGAAAAATAATTTTACAAAGTTTTTCTAAAACTTGACTAAATTTGACCAGAAATGACAAAAACTTGCCCTGATTTGATGAGAAACATGCAAGAAAAGATAAACTTAAAAAAATCTTTTTGACTAAATTTGACCAGAAATGACAAAAACTTGAGTGAAAGATTGAATAAAAACAATTTCAATATTTTTGTAATATTATTTTTCAAAATGTTATCTTTTCCTGTATATTTCTCATAAAATCAGGATATTTAGAGAACATTCAAAAAAAATTGTGTCATATTTGGTCAAATTTTGAAAAAAAAAAATTTGTAGTTGCTTCGCCATGTCCATTTTTGTGGTTAAAATTCAGAAAAAATATACTTTGTTTGTACGCCAACTTTTGATTACGATAAAATACTATGCAAGTAAGTCCCTGAAAAGCTCTTCAAAAATAAAAGTTTCTCAAAATGTCTCATTTGCAATTGTTTAGAATTTTTTTTTAGGAAAATTGATGAAACATTTTCATGTTTTCAATTTCTGGATGTTTCTCATCAAAAAGAATTAGAAAAAATGTTTGGGGTTTTTTTGGAAAAATCTCTTCACAATGAGGGCGAAATAAAGTTAGCTAAAGATATCTGATCGTTTTGGTGTGAGTAACAAACATTTTGCTTCATTTCCAGTGTCTCTGCTCTATATTTAGTTACTCTATAGTTAGGTTAGGGCTTGGTGTGGTTTGGGTTCATGTAATAACCATAACAATGATCATCTATCACTTTTCTTAGGACGTTGGTAGAAAGATGGTACCCGTCACAACCCCAACTTGCATATTTTTTATTTATTTAATTTTTACTTTATTTATTCAGATTTTATTTGTTATGTATTTATTGTTTTACATGAAAAATTTGGGATATTTTCATATTTTCTAATGTTTAGAATAATTAAATTTTTATTTTAAAAATTTAAAAATTAATTTAAAAAGTTTTAATCATTAGTAGCAGTAACAGTTTTAATTTTTTTTTTTTATTCATATTACATTTTAATATTTGTTATTTTACTCACCTTAGTCTTTCTGCAGTTTTTGAACGTTGGTTCAGGGTTCAGTAAGGGGTAATAACCACAGGGACTTTCAAAACCTTTTCTACCTGCAATGCAACATCAACAATTAATAAAAAGCATCATACTAAATAAAAACTACCTATGTTGGTTAAGAATGTCGTTTTTAAAAATCTCTTCTTAAAAATTTGAAAAATAAAAAAAGATAACACAAAGAATAAAGATAACTAACATGCCTAAAAGTATGTAACTAAAAACATTTTTTATTTTTGTAGTTGATAAACTTTTGTCATGTCATGTTGAAAGAAAAAATTATTTTCTGCATGTTTCTCATCAAAAATTTTTTTGGCAAAACCCTAATTTCTGGTGAGACGTTGAAAAATTATGATGAAATTAAAAAAAAAAACACAAAATTTTGTCTTTTCTGCATTTTCTCATCAAAATATGGCATTAAGAAAAAAAAAACCGAAAAAAGTATTACCAGAAAAAAATAGAACAAAAATAAATATCAAAATTAAAATTTAATTTGTCTAACTTTTTCCACTTCCCCTGGTATTTTGCATACTGGAAGGGCTGAATGCACTTGTTCATCCCCATGTTTATTTTTTTCAAATGTTAATCAAAAGTCTCAAAACCCTCCGCTAATCCCACTGCAGTCGTCTGCCTTAACTGACTGCCCTTCAAAGGGAAACGAAATGCTCTTTATGAAGAAACGGCAGCTTTCAGACAGGGATAAAGGTTGTTTCCATGGATGTGGTGTTTTCACATAAACTTCCTCTGGTGTGCGTGTGTCACACATTGTGTGTGAGCAGAGTTTGTGTAACCAACATGAAAAGGAAAATGTTTCAGAAAAAGACAGGATAAACTATCTGTTTGTTTAGATGAAACCTCACCTGTAACTTGTTAAGGAGTTGAACCACAACCCTTCCTTTTTTTTGTCTTCCTCTTTATTAGCCTGCCAGCACTGCTACACTTGCACTAGCGAGTAGCTCTGTTTGGTAATTACCGCACACTTTAATTTAAATGATCTCACTCCTAAAGCTTTCCAGAACCCTCGGTTTCCTCCGGTGACTACATCACAGTGTGTTTACCACTGCCACACACGCACACATAAACACACGCACAAACACAGGTATTATGCCTGTGACCCGCTGCAATTAGAAGTCGATCAGGTTCACGCTCTCGTTTGCGGCCAGACTAGGACCGATCCAAACACGCAGCAGATTGACGTGACTCACGGAGATCACATGAAGCCGGGTTTGTTGTGTCACGGGCCAAGAAAAGCAACAGCCCTCTTCCTCTCAACATCACCGCTGATTGATTGAACATGAACTCTAGCATATGAAAACGTACGTAAACACTGATCATTTTTCAACATGGTGTCATACTGTAGCCCAGCACATGTGGATCACGACTGCACGTCCGGACGCACTTATCCTCTAATGAGGCTGCCGCGCTCTATAAACCGCTCAGTCAGTGTTCCTGTGCGGCACTCTCAGGGAATTCCTTCTCCCATTTATTGATATAATTAAGGAGTACATGGTTGGAAGTAACGGACGAATGTGTGACTTTTCAAAGTGTGTTTCAATTAAAAGCCTCAGAGCGACTTAATGAGTCTTAATTTGACTGTTTTCCAAAGAAGCCAGTAGTCGTGAAATGTGGCAGGGACAGGAAGGATGTGAAGTGATTGCTGCTGTAATTACTGTCACAGTCTGTAACTTGGCTCCTTTGCCTAATGAGCGCCCTCTTATTTTTGGTGATGCCGGGGTTTTTCATTGGTTAATATTGCTTTTGGGACCAATGACGTCTAAGAAGAACAAAGGAGAAAACGTGTTTCAGGGGGTACGAAAAGACGTTGAATTTTACCGACATAATATTAGCCACATGTAGGGGGCGGGGCCGGGGTCAGGACGCAGTTGAATTTTACCGACATAATATTAGCCATATGTAGGGGGCGGGGCCGGGGTCACTTTTATCCGATTGCACAACAGACGCAAGTGGACCCATAAATTTAACAGGGATACTTTATTTGCGATGTACAAACAGTCAATCCATACATTAAACACAACACAACGCAGATCAGAAGGTCAGCAGAGTTTGTTGAAGTATGTGTGTTGACATATACTCAAATACTATGTTTTTTTTCAACAATCAAAACAACTGTGCGTGTGTGTATGTGTGTGTGTATACACTGCACCTGTATCTGCCACTGTTCTTTTGGTGCTCCTTGTCTTCCATCTCCTCCTCCTCCTCACTCTCATGAATGGCTTTGTCCTCTGGATCAGCTCCATGACTTGACACTTGTCATCTAATCAAGGCCAGTAAACAACAATGATCAACTTTAAAGCACTTTTTCCAAACATTTCCAAAGACAAATACAATGTAAAAAAAATCTACATTAAAAAAAAAAGCACCAGACACAGAATGTACAGTCTTTGTATGAAGTATTTAACTTTGAATACAGACTCTCTCTTCAATGATACGTCATCTAACTGTGGTTAGATGACGTATCATCACAGATAGGCTACTGTACCTTTGCTGCTCCGTCTTCCATGCCAAGTCTGGGACGATCGGGACACGTGGACAGGGCTTGCTGCGGCCATGTTGATCGACCATGCTAACTGTAGCCACCTTGACCTTAGCTCCATCACGGACGAACTCTATCAATTAGCGGAAATGTACTGCATCCTGCACTAAACTTCTTTTTTCCCCTTAGATTTCAGTTCAAATCATATCTCTTTTTTGGAGTTTCTTTCTTTTTGGAGTATTTGATTATTAATTCGGCTACAATTGGTAGGAGCTGCTCGTATCCGCCGTTTAATATGCAAAGTATGAGATCGACCTAATAGAGCGGCGCGTGAATCATTCACCCGGCCGTCCCGCCCGCGTTTCACTCTGTCACCCCTGCGGAGACAGGCTACTGCGATAAACTGCGGCTCTGTACAAGAGTAAAAAAAAACAAAAACAAAAAACAAAAAAAACAAAACTTGCCGACAACAACCGGTCGGTTCGGTCAGGATCAGACCTTCCTGTGGCCACCCCGCCCCTGAATAAGATGACCACAAATGAGTAACTGAGGGCTGGAAGGAGACGCAGCTGCCAAACAAACACACTACTGTAAACGCTGCTATTCAGACTGAATGTATCTAATGTATCAGACCGTATTTGTACTGATTTGTAAATCAATAAAATACCATTTATCCGTTCATCTGTCTCCACAGTCTGGTCTAAACACCGCTCAGTGAAAAAGCTCTAGAGTCTGAAAAAAGTTTGAACCGAGTCACCAAGATTTGAGGTATCACAGAACAAAAGTTCAGGTCGAGTCCAAGTTATTAAAGAAAATTTAGTGAAGTTAAACAGGTCTTCAGTTTGACAAGTTTGAAAATGAGTCATCGGGCATTCAATTTGACTGTCCAGTCATCAGGACAGGGCACGATACACAATCAGAGTCTTCACAGAGTCACATATGCAGATAAATAACTAATAAATAACAGTTTACAGTCAACAATTAACCAATTAACTTTCAAACTCCAATCATTGGACACTGCTGCGGCTCGAACCAGTGACCTTTTTGCTGTACGGCTGGAGCACCAACCACTCCAGCATTAGCTAATATTTAGCCATAAATTGTAATAAATCGTAAATGAATTACTATCACAATTAATTGTGATTAATCTAGAGTTATCATCAAATTAAACATTGTTATTTGTTCTACAGCCATTATATATATATACATATATGTATATATATATAAATATATACATATACAGTATATATACATGTGTGTGTGTTTAGGTCACGCCCATTAGTGTCAATAATTGAAGTATGAACAAAACAGGAAAGGAAACTACACAATACTCCAACAATACAAAAAAATGTTTGATTCCACTTTGAAGTGTTCAAATCCAATTATGTGAGTGTTAGCACTCTGGATGATGTCAGTGTGACTCAGAGTCAGTGTTTGAGGATCGGTACCGTCTCCCTGATCCTTAGAGATACACGGAACTGATGATGTCATTCCATTAGAGAAAGGGGAAAAAAAAAATAATCCAGCGTTGTGTGCAGCGGAGGGTTTTAGGAAGAGAAATGTTCAGCTCTGCTGGGATCATGGCTTCACATTGGACGGCCTGCTGATCACTTAATGGCAGCATGACAATGTCCATTACAGCAAACTACCCATGTTTAATTGCTTCCTTCGAGCCGACCACTCATGGGAAGGATTTTCCGCCTGTGAGAAGTGAGTGGGGATGTCTTGGACGGGGAACAAAGCTGTGGCGCTGTTGTGGACAGTAGGATTGGAGGGACTGTGGGCTGGAGGTACGAGTGGGTGAGCTTCTTGTAGGCCTTCCTCTCCCCCCCCACCACCACCACCACCTCATCATCTGTCCTCTGCTTCTTGTCCCCTCGCAAAACGGGCCAACGAGTGTTGGGCAGCGTCCCAAACCGCTGTCTAACAACAACATTGGTGAGAAGAAACTCCAGTTAAACAGCGGAGAGGAGGAGAGGAAGAGAGTCATTCGGTGGTTACTGTGGGAATGTTGGAAACTGCGCTTTCCTGAGGCCTTGGGAATCCCACACTGGAGCTGGAACCTGTGGGCAAGGAAAACAAGACCTGAGTCCCACCAGAGTGGAGATGTCATACAGAATACAGCAAAAGCCTGGAGTGGGACGTTCTCTGATCTTCTGATTGGTCGAGAACGTTAAGGACTTTGTGGGGGGAAAACTCCACCTGCACTGGGGTTTTGTTGGTACTGTGTTGCCCAGTGCAATAAAAAAAAGCTTCTAGATTCAACTGAAAATGAACTAAAACACAAAAAAGTCTGCAAATTAATTCAAAATAATTAGTGACTTTATTCCAGAGGTTAATAATTTATTTTTAAAAATCCTAACAAATGTGTATTTCTGGTGCCGTCATCAGATGCACACTCTCTCTGCCTTTAAATGCTATTCATTCATTCCAATTTTTTCCGCCATTATTTGCCAAAATCAACAATAGGTAAAAAAAAAAATAAAAAAATTCCAGGAATTCAATGGAAACCGTGTGATGTCTGGTCCTGTCTAATTAAACTAATTAGTAAAAGAAAAATGACCAAAGACAAAGATTTCACTGAACACGACTCTCTACTGCCTCCTGTGTTTCTATCTGAACCTACGCTCTTGTGCAACAAACACAACATTAACAAACACTCACTCTTCTGTTCGTCTCTCTTCAGATGTCCGTTTCCCCTCGTTTCCTTTTGGATGCCTTTTCCTTCCAGATGTTTCTCCATGTGTTAAAGGGGACACGTGGATGTACAGGATGAAAAACGACAGTGACACCACTTCCTAAAACACACAGAGAATCAGAGAGAAGAGTCAGTGTTTCATTGGTGCAGACACTGCAGCCATTGTTAACACACTTGTAATGAGAAGTTCCTGATGCATCTTGGCAGCGTTCATCACTTGATATAAGTACAAGATGAAATGATCCGCACTGGGAATAAAGAGCGCAGCATTGCGTGACCATGAAGCCAACATCCTGTCTTCAGTGAATTCCATGGAGGAGTGTGTGGCTCCTTTGGTTTCCCATGCTTTTTCTAGAGTCTGTGTGTGTGTGTGTGTGTGTTTGTTTGTATGCACTCAGAAGATCTGATTTATGTTTTTTTTTTGAAGTTATCTTTTGTATTGTAGAATTCCACGGAGACTTGTTGACAGTTGAGCGAAGGCACAGTTGTTGTTTTTAAAGAGATCCAGAGAAGAAGAAGAAAAAAAAAACTATTTCAACATTTCTACTTATATAAAATATTAAACATATTTACAAATGTATATAATATGGACTGCTAAAGTCCTCATGCTAAAATAGCTCAGAGGGATGTGGACTACACTGCTGCGGCGACAAGATGAAAATTATATAACTTTCTTTTCAGTTCCATGTATAAAAGTGTAAAAAATGACGTGTTTGCAGCACTAAATTAATTCACACATAAACATGGGACAATTTAAGAGGGGTTAAAATGATAGCTCTTTGAAAGACCGCCCCACATGGGACAATTTAAGAGGGGTTAAAACGATAGCTCTTTGAAAGACCGCCCCCCACCCACCGAAAAAAAAAATAAAAAAATCCCCAGCCTCCTGTGGGTGACTGACATGAAAGCCACTCTGTACAGTATGTGATTACTGGAACATAAAGAAAGGCTCGGGCCGCCGGAGCTGCTGCTCCTCTCTGGGACGACTCATCTGTGATGTGTCCTGTCTGTGGTCTGAGAGCCAATCAGTGCAACCCACCTCTTTAATCAGCCTGCTGGAGGAGGGACCAAGGACGCTGCGGTGACCACAGGAGGCCTCCCTTCTCATTTTCTCACCCACCGGCACGCCCGCTCCGAGGAGGAAGAGTCCTGAGGTTTGTGAGGCAGTGACAGGTGGACAGGTGGCTCTTCAGCGGCACTAGAGGGAGCCGCCACACCTCGTGGCCGCGGTCGGGCTAAATATATGAAGGGAACCACCTTTAGAATACAACTGTGCTGCGGTGTTGTGAGTAAACAACATGTGCGTGTACTTTATGTTTGAAGTATATCGTAGACACAGTACTCTCTTTTTCTACCCATTACTGCCACCTGTTGTTCTAACCCATACTTGTGTATAATATTTCCAAGACAGACTAAACTGTGATTGACAAAATTGACAAAAAGTGGAAATCTTACCTTTCGACATTGGTTCCTAAAGTGGGGGGTTGGGACCCCCCTTGAGTACGCAGAATTGTTGCAGTGGGGTCACAGCAAGGCAGATGAGTTCCAAGATGCCAACTTTATTTTTCCAAGCTGTGATATGGAGAAAATTAACAGTGGTTTGAATTCAGAACAAAAAAATCAGATCTGTTGTTTGAACTGTTAATAACTAAAAGTTACAAAATTCACAAAAGTGTGGGTCGAGGCCAAGAAAACGTGCCAAACATACTGTTCTCCTTTTTGTGCTTTTGTTTGGTCAGTGGAGTCTGCAGCAGTGAAGTGATGAACAGCTGGTGAACTGAGGTGACACTTCACTGCATGCGTATCGTTCAGTTGTTTTCTGTAAAGTTTTGACTGATCTAAATGAAAGTTCGATGTTTGCCGCTCCGAACTGTCAGCTTCTATTCCTGCAGGATCCGTCAGACATATTTTTATCAATAAACTCGAGCAAACAGATGGATTCCCGTTGTAACGTGACAGAGTTGAAGCAGCAGCGGAACAGTACTGCAGTACTGCAGTCCAGAGCGTGTACTCTGGTCCAACACCAACGTGGTGGAACAGATGGTCACGGGAAGAACCGCGTCTGAAAGTTCTTTAATTTATTAAGCTGAGTTACATCACGTTTATTATTAATATGATGTCAATAAAAATCATTACTAATTGTTGATATATATTTTTAAAATTTTACCAACTAAATATTCAGATATTTATTTTTTGTACAGATCAATTTCTATTATTCAGATATTTATTTTTTGTACAGACCAATTTCTAAATCATCAACATATTGATTTACTTTTTTTGAATGAATCACAAATCCAAAGAAGTTGGAAAAATTCACAAAGACTGACGATGTCTGTAGTTTAGGTAATTATTTTTTCCTTTTTACGTAATTTCTGTAGGACTATTAACTTGGAGTTTCAAGGATTTCCTAATGACTTTACATTCGTTTTCTCTCATGTTTCGTGACACTCCATCAAGTTACTTCAATTTCCTGAATTTTCCTCAGCGTCTACTCAGTGCTAAGAACACAAAACATTTTCCCCTCCTGGTTTGTTTTGCCACTCGCTCCCTACTTTGTTTTCTACATCCTGACATAAGATTGATGAAAGTGAAATTGATAAATTAAGGATTCGTCTGTGGGATCCCTCCCAGCACGATTTGGAGAAAACACACAGCTGCAAACACACCACAAAGTACAAAGCATGCACACACACACAAACACACACACAAGTCCTCACCAAATGAAAAAAAAGAACTACATCCAAAAAATGTAATCCTCACAACATTAGAGGCGAAATGTGACAGCTAATTAAAAACAAGATCCACACCACACAACAAGGCAAAACATCATCACTAACCAAGGCTGGAAAACCTCATCTCTCTGCGGCTTCTTGTTTTATATTTACCCCCGTGGCTATGTGCATTCCTCACGCTCACCAGAGAAAAAAACAAGCAAAACGCTTATTTTATCCGATATATTTAAGTCAAAAATATATGGAGGATCTAATGTGTTCAAAGATGCCCAGGTACAGAGTAGTTTTTCAGGAGTTTCAGATGTCTTTCTTTTCTTTTAATAAATCAGGTACAGAGTAGTTTTTCAGGAGTTTTGAAACAGATTTCTTTCTTCATGAAATTGTTCAAAATAAATTCCTACGTCATTTTTTACCGTCATTTTTGTATTTTCTTGATTATTGTTGTAGTTATGGAGGTGGTGATCCAAGAGCACAAACCCAAAGAAGAAACAAAGCTAAGGTGTTAGCAGGGTTAGCTCGACCTAGCGTAGCTTTAGTGCAAATTATTTTGTGCTGAACTACTGTAAAAACACACCTAATTTTTCTTTAAACTTTTTTTTCTACAGCTGAATATACAACCATATACTGTAGTATCACATTCTATTCAAGTATTTAGCGTTTACCATCTGAAGAAATGGACGAGGACGGAGAAGAGTGTCAGGAGTTGATGATGGACCTGGACCTGTTAGTGGACCTGAGGACTTTTTTTTATTACTAATCCATTACTAATGGAACATTTTATCCACTCGGGATAAAAGAGCTGCTCCAGGAGGTCAAGAATTGAAGTGCAGTCACAGCAGACATTACTCAGATTTTGTATTTTTGAAGTGACATCATCAACTAAATATGTTACTGTACCATACTGTGCACGTAGAGATGAACATCATCCATGTAGAATTGAATTTACTTTTCTCTTTCTAACGGCATTCATTTACACCGTCTGACCGTGTGTGTGAGAAGCACCGCACAAACAAACGCAGCCCGATGGTCACCTCACCACCGACACCTGAGCATCAGTTACCTCCTCACCCTGTCTCCTCGTCTCCTCGCCTCCTCTCCTCTCCTAGCATCTCGCCCGTCGCCTAATTCAAAGCATCTTGCGGGACGAGTGCGATGGAGAGAAGGATGTGGCTGAGGCAAATAAAAGAATCATAACAACAGGATCAAAGCAGACCAGCAAATCTATTCCTTCTGGCTTTTGCATGAAACAAAGGAAGTCAAAGACAAGACAGACAGGGCACTGCAGAGAAAGGAAAGGAAGGGATCAAAGAGAAGAAGAGGGGTGAGGAGGAGGGGGAGGAGGGGTGAGGAGCTGAGCCTGAGTCCTGAACTCTGCATCTCGCCGACAGGGTCATCGTCAGCATGTGTTGCCGTTTGATTGATGCCTCTGCTCCGGCTCCTTTATGTGTGTCTCTCACTGGTCTGAACGCCGATCACACCCTCCCCTCGCTCTGTGCCATTAGATCAAACAGCTGTGTCAGGACTTATCCATAACTCTGAGCAGCCGTGCCGCCTTTTATATTTTTAGCCTAATACTCGACATGTCAGTATACCACTCCTCTGTTTGATGGAGAGCTGGGAATCAAAGACCAACAAAGAACAGCAGCTGGAATCAGGCGTTCAGAACAATCCACTC